AAAGCTTTACTCCACTTTCTCAACGTAATACTAAGAACAAAAGAAATTCTTAGAATTAATCAGCTCCAAAGAAGATAACAATATCTTGAAAAATCATCAATCTAAATAAGGGCATAAAACAACAGGCTACAAAGCACACCGGAATTCTTAGGGAGAAGGTAGTGAAGTAGAAGAAACTCTCAGCAGAGGACACTAAATATGGAAATAAGCATCTCTAAAGTTTTGGCAGAAGTAACATTAGTTTGGAGTAACAAAATCCAAAAAGCAGGATTTGAGGTTAATTCCAAACTGTTTGTATGACCTGCGGTTCATTCTCTCTACCTAGAAAAAAAGAGGGACACCACCACTTACACTGCAGATCTGCTAGGAGCACGAAAGCACCTGCTGGTTTCATTTTCCTCCTCCCACTTGGGAGATTGGTTTTCCTGCAGCCTAAATCTGGTCCAGAAAGTCACCCCTTCTCACTTTCACTTTGATAGCTCATATGATGCCACCTCAAAACCTACTCGTACTTCTTGTTGCTTGTGACTTGCTCATTTGATAAGTTTTAGCCACGCTTAGAGTGGGAAGCAAGATTTTGCTTCAAGGTGTTACACTTCTTAATTGCACATTTCAAGAAGTGGTTCTTTCTTTAAATAAAGATTCAACTTACATAAGTTGACAAAGTACAATACTTTGAAGCTTGACACGATTACTGAACAATTAAAGTAAGAGTTAACAATAAAAGCAATCAGTAATCAAGAAGTCACTTTTGGAAAACTCTGCTCAGTGAGGCTTTGACTATAGTCCATATCCCTTTACAGGCAGAAAAAGATGAAGTTGAAGCATGCTTATATGAAATTTTATTAAAGGCAATTAATTCAAGCACAATGTTTTGAAGCAGAATTTGCCTGTATCACCTGAGAGTACCATAGAATTTGAATGGAACATAGTGACTTCAAAGCATACTGTGTAAAACAACCTACTGAGATGTGGGAAAAATTAGACTTCTGTATTTATTTCTACTTGAAGACTAACATTTGAGGGTGAGGTACTGAGTTAAAAGCTTTACATTCATTAACTCATTTAACAATTAAACTAGGCATGGATATAATGAATAACTCACTGGAAGTCACAGAGCTAGTAACTAGTAGAATCCAAACCCAGGCAATCTAGCCCCAGATTAATCACTAACCTATAACACCTCTCATAAAATAGGCTTTAGTAACATTTCTAAGTTTTTTCTTAATGTTTATTTATTTTTGAGAGAGAGGGAGGGAGGGAGGGAGAGAGAGCGAGCGCGCAGGTGCGAGTGGCAGAGGGGCAGAGAGCAAGGGAGACACAATCCTAAGCAGGCTCCAGGCTCTGAGCTGTCAGCACAGAGCCTAATGCAGGGCTGGAACTCATGGACCATGAGATCATAACCTGAGCTCAAGTCCAATGCTTAACCAACTGAGCCACCCAGGCGCCCTGTCTTTAGTAACATTTAACTTCATTATTTTCACCAATTCAAAATGCACACGTTTCTCATTTCAACCTCTCTGAAAACAGTGTATCTTAAAATGGATGGCATCTTATAATTGACAGTATTTTTTTCTTTCTTGGTGGTACATAAAATCATGGTACATCTTAGGATACATGATTTCTTATTTCTGATGAAATGCACATGGCTACTCACCAGATCTGTTATGTTAGACCTTCACAAGTTGTACACTATATTCAAGGTATCCTGATAGAATGGGAATTCCAAAATCATAGGAGATGACAGTGGTGTTCTAATTAGTTGAACAATGTGATAAAATTGAGATTTACCTATAACTGGTTATGTGGATTTACAGATTCTGTCCAGTGGAACTAACCCTCAAAAAATGGTATCTGACAAGTGGTAACTGAAGAAACCATTCATTGACGATAACAGTACCATAACAAGAATAAGAAAATAATAGCACTGAGACATCAAAAAAAGTTTGACAAGAACTGTATAAAAAATATTCCAGGACTATTTGAAATATGGCATTATATGAATCTCACTTTAAGTGTATAAGGAGCCTTGAAATATTATCTAATGATAGTAATATATGAGATAAATTATAAACAAACATACTTGAAGCATATTTTTTTCCTACTAAAAAGATACACAACAAAACGTTTAGAGACCACTGGAATAAGACAACTCAACTTCTGGCCTTAGGAAAAAAAATCCCTTGGTAACATGTCTCTGTGTTAAATAAAATGTTAAATAATATCCTCATAACTAATGAAACCAGGGTGAAGCAGTGGTATGTGCAGAAAAAGGAAAACTACGACTTGATAAAGGCACCAATAAAAGGTATGGTTACTTGCAGATTCTGAATTTGCAAATATGCCTACTTGATAAAATTTGTAACTCCAAAATCAATACCTGAGGCGTTTTCTCCATCTCTCACAGACATGCACAGAACAGGGAAAAATTTGAGTTGCTCCAGGCACATCTTTCCAGCTGTTAAACAAGGGGATACTTTATCTTCTTGCTTTAGCACTCATGTTGTAAGTAAGTGTCTCTTTTGCAGTCCATTTAGTACCACGTTTTTTGCTTTTTTGTTGAATGTATTGTTTTAAATGGCTCCCAAGTGTAGTGCTAAAGTGCTGTCTAGTGCTCTAGGCACAAGAAGGAACCTTGCAGGAACCTAACTCTGTATTTCCCCTTGGAGCAATGGTTCAGTACTCACTAATTCAGTGTCTATGGTTATTATACAGAACAGAACTACTAAGAGTAACAAGAATTGACTTAGATCCCTGGTCATTTTCACAGTAATCTGAGATTCTTTTGCCTTATAAAAGGTAAACTATTACACTACACTTACTAGTTTCTGAATTTTCAGTGTATTGTAACTAAGATAGCTATTTATTTTCAGTCCTCTTTACAGGAAAGGGGGAATACTGGTTGTATTTAAATTAAAATCAAAACATTACAAAGAGTGTTCAACTGTTTTTTGTTTTTTATCATTTCTGTTCAAAGAGGCTCTCATAATAATACTGTTTGCATAAGCTATGACATAAACAATGTGGAGTGTATTACCAATAGAATTTTCTTTGCTACATGACTGTAATCATTAACACTGATCATGAAAAAGCCCATCCCCTTTTACTACTTGGAACCAAACATGAACCTCAATGAATTAGAGCTCTGAAGACTTCAGTGCTAACCCTCTCAACTGGACAAGTCAGTCAAAATCATCTACCCTGGAACCTTGTAAAAGGTCCCTTCTAAGTGAATCTGTCCTGCTAGCAGTCTAGGATAGTGGTTTTCAAGGCAGGAAGACCTGGAAGTAAACCCCAGCCAATAACAGAGAGAGGCTAACCCACTGAGTAGGCCACAGGAAATTATGGCAGATCAAAGTTGAGAATAAGTAGAAGATAAGGAAGCAGAGAAAGAGAAAAACAGTAAGTTACTTGGTAGCCAAACAAAAAGAAACTCAAATTAAGCTTGCCAGTGAGAACCATACTCTTGTGGTTGAATACTCTGAAACTGCATAAGAGCTTTCTGCAGTTTGTTTTGTAAACTATCTTGGTCTTCCTGCTAGAGCTATGTGCCCGTGAGATTTGTTTTCTTAATTTAGTAACCTACAACCAATTCCCCACCAATTCCGACTTGAAGCAGCTTACCCAAAAGACAGGTTTGAAAATTTCCTGTTAGAGAATGTAAGTCAAGCATCCAAAGGCCATGATTCTATGCTGTCATCCTACTTAGTGTTTTCTTTAAGGTAACACAAATTTCCATAAATCTATGTGGTGGGAAATTTGATAGCAGTTCACTTTATAGACCTAAATTGATATTTGAACAGGTTTGCTCTAGTTGCAATATTTTAAATTTTTACAAACATCCTCATTTTACCTTTATGACTTTACAGATTTCAGTAACTTCTCTCCAGAATGAGGAGTCTTTATACTTTTAGTTATCTTAATAACACCGAAGCCCCCTAGCACTTCTAATCCAGTGGTATGTTTTACGCTCTACTGTACTGTACTACTTATTTTTTCATTGAGCATGGCACCTTGGATAGCTTCCTCTGTGCAAATACATCTATCTCATTCTTTTTAAAAGGCTGGTGTATTGTTTCATTATATAAATGTACCATAATTAATATTTCACCAGTCCTTATTAACAGACCTTGGGTTGTTTCCAATTATTTACTATAACAAAATGCTATTGGGCAACATCTTTTTACATGTGTATGTGTGAGTATGAAAGACCAAAACATCACTAGATCATTTTAAGTTGCTACTCTCTGAACTGTTCTGAGTTTAGTTATGCCTTCCAAGAGGAACAAAGACTAGAAAGTACTCCTAATTCTTGCTGCAGATACAAAAACAATTAGCAGTAAGTATATTTTCATTAAATATAGACAAAAGACTTGGAAAATTTTTGTTCCCCTTAGTGGAGAGAAAATGACAAACCAGGATCTACCATACCAGACTGAGTGAGGCATAATCTTCACCTAAAAAGGAATGACTGTGGAAGCTCAATTAGAAAAATGGGGAAAAGGGTCTCTTTTATGGAGAGGTCTCTTATTGGCTTGAGACCAGATGTTAAAGGGTTCACATAACAAGAAAAGACTTTTATCATTGAAAAATTTTAGATACCTCAGATACGAAGTTAAGAAATTATAAAAGCTTAACAGGTGAAGCTCTGAAACTTCTATTTGATTCTTTAATGTTCCTAATTTCCCAAAGTTCAAAGATCAGATGTTTGTTTTACAAAATATTACATCTGCGCATATACTTTTAAAAAAGAAAAAAACAAAAAACAAAAATGATAAACGTCATAGCTCCTGTCTTCTTTAAATCACTCTAGCCGGCACCCTGGCCGGAGGACGGACACCCGAGCGGTGCCGGAGCCGCATCCACAGAGCTGCCCCGGTCGCCGGTCAGCGCTCAGGCTCGGGGTCGGGGCCGGTAACGGCGGCGGGGAGGAAGGCGAGGCCGCCCGAGCGGGGAGGAGCTTCCCAGGCCCACCCGCGGCCGTCGCTCCCGGCTCTCACCTCAGCTCTTCGTCGACACTCCGGCCGGGCTGTTCGGCCGAGGCCACCACAGAGGAAGTCGTAGAACTCTTGTTCTTCAGGATCCCCTTGATGGGCCGATGCGAGGCCGTCGAGGCCGCCATTGCCCGCCGCTCCGGCGGTCGGCTCAGCGTCGCTGCTTGGCGCTGGGTCCAGGAAGGAAAGGGCTGGGCGCGTGCACAGACTCGCCAGGCAGCCGCGGAGCCCGCCTGGGGCTAAAGCGGCCGCACCTGCTGTCGCGGAGACGACTACCGGAGTCGTTGTGACGACACAACGACCCCGACGCCAGGGCCGACGCCGCGCGGCTGGCGGCCCTTCGCCACCAACACCTAACCGCGGCCAGCGGAGAGAAGCCGGCCTACTGCCCCAGCGCGGGAGCGACGCCGACGCCGAAGCCGAAGCCAAGCGGACCCGCCCTCTCGCGATATCTAGGGAGGGGCGGGGGCGGGGCGAGAACAAAGCCTACCTCCTCTTGTTCTCGCCCCGCCCCCTCCTGGTCTTTTGGTCCTCTCGATCCTACCCGGGCTCGGTCGCAGAGAGCCCAGGAGCGGTTTTAGAGAAGGTTCAGAGGTTTCTGGTTTGCCTATCGGGAGGAAGAGAGAGAGAGAGGGAGAGCGAGTTACAGGTCTCTCACTCCCACCACTTTATAGGGTCCATATTGTTATTTCTGTTTTATAGATCGGAAAACTGACGCTCAAGGTGACATCATTCCCCAAAGATACTATCTGATTTTCAGAGAAATGATATATATGTCCCCTCTTTATTTCCATTTAACCGCATAAAATGTTTTAGCTATTATAAATTCATGGAATATTTGCATTAGAATGCTCCTTAGAGACCTGCTTTGAAATCACAGAATATTGACTTCTATGAAATCATAGAATACCAGCATTGAAATAGTCTAACCTAGTTTTACCATTGGCATAGCTAAAGGACAGAGAAGAGTGACCCAACCACTAATGTCAATTGTAGTGTGCGGTCATAGAACTTGAGACTTCTGACCTCTGGTGTTTCTGGGTCTGGTCTTCCCCCATTTTACCACATTCTCCCTATGTGTTTGTAATCCCATGGAAAAATATTGCAGGGAAATTTTTCTAGAATTGCATTTTATAATGTGTCTCCCTACAAATTTTAGGAAATTCATTTAAGATACCCAGTTGTCCAACACTGCATAAAATTGGCCAGAAATCTGGGGTGCTGTCTAGGTGGTTCTAAGAAGAATCCCAAAGGAGAAACAAACAAAACCCTCACACACACACACACACACACACACACACACACACACACACACACACA